GCACTATATCCAAACACAAACGCATCTTAAGTGTCTTAACAGTGAAACAATTTCTTATTTTCTAAGTTTGCGAATAAAACTTCGCACTTAAAATTAAGACATTTATAAGAAACATTTTATGGAGGAAATCCCTTCTTCGTTTAAAATAAAAATAAGCGAAATCGGCCCAATTTTATACAACCCTGCCTGACATGAAAATTTTCTCCACGATAAGGCTAGTAGCCATTTGTAACAGATGTTGGGTCGCTTAGTCAAAAATGGAAACATATATACATATTTGAAATTTAATAAAACAAGTCAAATAGCAAAATCGGCTAAAAACGGCTAATTTTTTTCTGCAAAACGGCTAACAAATCGGCTGCCGGCTAAATCGAAATTTCTCCGCCTGTTTGCTACTGCAACCGGCTAAATCTAGCCGGAAAACGGCTAAATCTAGCCGGAAAACGGCTAAAATAGCAACACTGATCAATTTGATTCGAACAAAGAGTGTTCAGCACATTTCTGTCGCGCTCTCAGTAAGACAAAGTGGGAAGGGATCGCGTAAAATTGCTAACAAAAAGTGTCCGTACACGAACGGTGAATGCGCCTTAAAATACATATGTATGTTGTATGTCAATAGACGCGTTTGAGACGAAGGCATTGTTGTACACTTTTAAGCGGCTTGCGCACATGCCCAGTATGTACAAATGTAGGTAAGAATGAATGCGTCTTCCCAAGTAGGATAAATGCAGGTATAGTAGCAGGGCCGTAGCCATGATTTTTCTGGCAAAATTTTTTTAGTTTCACTTTTATTTCAACATATTTTGATTTAAAAAAAAAATACTGATACAAATAAAAATTTTCATAAAAACAGGGTTGAAATCTTGAAATTCCTGCCCGTATTTTGCTTGTAAATATGAGTGGCATTATGCTACTATGATAGCACGGCCGAGTAATCATAGTCAACTTATGTACAGTAGTCGAAAAAATTATAGCCGCACCAAATTTTGACAAGTTTTAAAATATTAGTTTTGTTGTTATTTAATTTCGGTTAGTTTTTTATAGTTCGTTCTTTACCAACTTCCGTATAAATACAAGTTTAAAGGCAGTGTAACACGATTTGGTGTAAATCGTATCCCAATTGTTTGAACACCCAAAATATTTTTCACTATCCCAATCACGAAAATTAATTGAAATTTTTCAATAGAATATTGGGCATATATCAAGATAACCAACCGTTCAGCTATAGAAAAACTAAAAATGCAGATTGCTAGTACTTTTTACGCTGATTTTATCTATATCAATATTATTTGCCGCAATTAAAAAGTAAAGTAGATATAAAAGGTAAAACAAAAAAATTGTGATATTTTATTTTTTCTAAACTACGAAACCGATTCAAAAGGTAATGATGTCAAAATAAAGACAATTAATTTATCTTCAAGCTGGTATATAAAATGTGTATGTATGCTTTTTTATATACTTAAGCCAAAAATATTATAAAACAATTCATAATTTTTTCAAAAGTGCATAATCAATGCTAGAAAATTTATATTATTTAGAAAGTGCAAGTTTTTACCTTTAATTTGATATTCATATTATATTATGATTTGCTTTTGAGTTTTCAGAATTCAGTGAATAAAAAAATATAAATTCATGTATGTGCAAATGCATATTGTTGTTAATTAAACGGGTTGGCTTTCCATTATGGCCGTTCGTTAAAGAGGCGGTGGACGAAAGGTAAGTGGGCGGGCACCTCTAACCCACCTTTTTGGAGAGGTAATGAACCGCCATTGACAAAAATTCAACCCCCGACAACCTACGTCCCCTATGGTTCCCTAGGGACCTCTTAGAAAAATGGCCAAAAATCACAATTTTCATTTGCGTCTATTGAAAAATGTTAAATATTCATTTGCACAAGACATTTTTATATACAAGACATTTTTATAAAACACCCAGTAACCATAATAGATATCACTGGGGCGGCAGCCCCAGGTTTACCACACAGAAAGGGAATTCTAGTTACCTCATCCTTTCCCAAGGCTACAACACTGGGGCGGTAGCCCCAGTTGGTGCACACCAAAAGGAAAATTCTATTTGGTAAGGGTTATAATCCCTAAGTGCGGCCGAAGGCCGCCTACACAGAAAGGTGTTCTCTGCAAGAGGTGTTCAGCTCCCCTTCTTCGGCAATACAGAAAGGAGAATTCTACTTTGTTAAGGTTATTTTATGAAAAAATTAAAACATTTTATTTGTTTTTTAATATACCTGGCTTAAATATATAATCAAGCAAACACATTTTATATATCAACTTAAAGACAGACTAATTGTCCTTATTTTGACATCATTACCTTTTTAATCGGTTACGTAGTTTAGAAAATATTAATATTTTAAAATATCACAAACATTTTCTTTAACCTTTTATATCTTCTTTACTTTTTAATTGCGGGAAATTATATTTATATAGTTGAAATCAGCGTAAAAAGTACTATCGGTCTGCATTTTTGGTTTTCCCATAGCTGAACGGTTGGTTATCTCGATGTGTTCCGAATATTGTACTAATCTTTTGACTACAAAAAAAATTTTCCCATTTTTTTTTACCAATAGCCTAATATAAAAATTTACAAATCTGTACAAATGTACCAATCGAGTGACATTGCCTTAAAAATTTATGCAATTTAAAAAAATATCTACAAATTTTCGTTAAAATTTCGAGTTTTTTAATTAAATTCTGAGTATGCAGTTTTGTAGCCTATTGAATTCTAGTAGAATAAAGTACACGTTTCAAATGGCTAAAAATGTCGATTGATTTTTTTAAATTTTTATAAGTTCGAAATTTGTACGAAAGTTTGTTGATTTTTTTTTTTTAATATTGCACAAACGAGAAGTCCACTTGCAAAGTAAGCCATAAATTAAAAAAAATCTACAACAACAAGTAACCTCCAAATTGTATTTTTCTC